TCTGAAACATTGTTCGGTGAGGTAGGAAAGTCTCCTCTATCATATGAACAGAGTTGCACAACCACAGCTGTGCAAGAATTGAATTCATTCTTCCTTTGAAATTACTGTTTTTGTGTAATTTCTGTGCTTCAGAAGCAGTAATGCTTAGAAACTCTCCCTTACTCCTCAGTGTTTCAGTCCTGTGCAAAAATCACCACGGCTACATTTAGACTTTTGCCAAAATAATCAGCTTTTGACCCTTCAGGAATCACTTTGTGGGAGATGAGTTATCACGTGCCTGCACAAGGAATGTTGTATATCATTAAATAAAAATAACAGGGTTTAACATATACTTCCTTTGTTTTCTTCAGTATTGGTTTATGGAATATGTTTACATTGGGAAAGGACTTTCTAAAGAAGATATGTGAATGGTTATGTATGCCCTAAAATAAGAATTTGTGTTTTAAAGTCAATTAATAAAATAAAAAAAATATTGTTTCATTCAAAATTAGCCAACAAAACAAATAAAATCCTTAATTTTATTTTAGTTTGATAGCTTGGGTTTTCCTCCTTCCATAACTTTATGCAGAAATGGGAGAAGATAAGAAAGCAGAAGTGTGTTAATGATGCAAAACAGAAAAATGTAATTGTTTTGAAATTATCATTTCAATTACTGTGGAACAAAAAAATCTGACAATAAGCATTTTAAAAAGTAATTTTCAGTCACATAGGTTGAGCGTTGGGTTACCTATCAGTAACAGAATGAATAGTTAACAGGGGCCATTTCCTTAATGTATGCAAGAGTATTTCCATGCCAATCTATTACTTCAATTCTTCCTAAGAACTGCCTTTCTTCAAGACTGGTTATTGATGTGGGTGTCAGAATATATTTGTTAGTCCTTGGGAAGAGCCCCATGGCTGCATCGGACAGACCCAAGACCAGATAACTGAGCCCAGTGACCAGCCCATGAACCTTCAGACATCGCTGGCGGGTCAGTGTGAGAGGGAGTGTCATTTCCTCACTTGTATCTCCTGGTGCCCCGTGTCTCCTTGACTTGTGTTTACACTGAGATATAATTATACTGGAGGTGTGGCTACCAAATGTGATATTATAAATAACAGGCCTTAGTGCTTCATAGGCTCTTTCTCAGCGTTGACTAATTAATCTTCCTTGCCCTGACTATGTCAGTTTATCGCTGCAATGCAGTCAGTGAGACTGAAGCATGGATGTTAAATGTCCTGCTTGCAGCCTGGAGTAGAGACAGTAGCTGTCAAGTAGCTTCTTAATGAGAAAGTCCGTCTCCTGTTTTTCACAGTTTAACTGTGGCCTTTACACTTAGAGGAATCCAATTTTTGGCAGCCTGGCCTAGAAGAGCCAGGAGCTGCCCAGGGGTGGGGAAAATCCTCATCCTGGCCCTTTGCTGTGTGGTCTTGCTCAAGAATGTTGTTACAGTTTTGTTTCATGGACATTAATTTGGTATTCAACAACGCAAATTTTTCATGGCATGTCAAGTTTTCCAAGCCCAGCTTTCCACTTAGTATAAAATTTTAGCTTTAGCAGCTTAACCTGATGTTATTGTAGGTGTGATATGTTAAGGGTATGAGTGAGGCAAGATTTATGGAAGAGTTGTTCTTACTGTCATACTGATAGATAGAGAAAAACAGGGAAGATTTAGGCCCATAGCTCTCAGCAAGGTTTTGTGATACTGAAAGTGAAAGATCTTCCATTTTGCTTAGACCAGAGACTGATTCTCAGACAGCCAATTTAGATAATGTGACTACTGCAGTTGGTGCATTTTAAAGAACAAGAATGCTCTTTCTTCACAAGCCATTAGACTGTTGGTTTCTTCATAACATTTGTTCAAACCACTGTGTTTAAAGTCCTTGTCATGTAAGCTAACTGCTGAAGAGCTCTTACATCATTCTCCACAGATAAGACTTAGACTTGTAACACAGTAGTTGCTCTTATCATCTTTCAGCATATGTGCTTCTTGTGAGTATATCTGGAACCCGAACAGAAATTGTAAGACATTCTCAGTGTTACTAGCTTCTTTCCTGAATTACACCTAAAAAGTAGCACAATTCTGTAGATGTAACTTCAGCACTTTCCAAAAAGCATATGCTAGTACTAGTAAGAAAACGATTCTCAGGGCATCAGTATGAAAAATAATTAAAAAAAAAATACAATCAGAGAATGGAGAAAAATGTTATTTGACATGCTGGATCTCAGTGAATGTCATATTGCTTTTACCTTGCCTGTATAAGGGAAATGTATTCAGAAACATCTCAGCCTTTCTAGGGACATGAACAACTAATTAGAATTACTCAAGCTCTCCTTTAAGTCTGTTACTAAGAAATAGGATCATCCAGGTAGCATTTCATCTCATCAGCTATTTCTTCTATTTCACATCAATAAGGAAGCAGAATCTTTTGGAATCTCCTATGAAAGTAAGAGGGTTAATGCCTGGATACCCTGCAGTAGCCCAGCAGGATGCAGGATGCTCCAAAGTGGCACTTCATGATGTGGATGATCTCTTCCTGCTCCTTTTGCTGCCATCCTCAAATACCATATGTAGATATCCAGAGCACAACAGCTGTCTCTTTGGGGAGGCAGCTCTCTCAGAAATCTCTGATAATAAAATAATTCCTCTTTAAATATTCATTGGCCCAGAGAGTGAGAGAGAGAGAGAGAAAGGATAAAGCGTGTGTGTGTAGAAGGAGTTTTAACACTCATGTCCTTGGTTATAAACAGAAATTAAATCTTGGAAAATACAACAGAAAACAGTTGAGAATTCTACCAAAATTATATATCTTCCTGTAAGAGAACTGGGACTTTACAGAATAGTATTTTCTGATGAAAACTTAGGTTTCTCAGGAAATTTTTACCCAGCTTTGGTTTGAATCACACTTTCTACAAATATCACTGTGCTTGTAGGAACTTGAATAGTGGCACACAGTCATGATGTTGAAATTGAGCTTCAGGAAGGTAGAAAATCAAGGCTACCAGAATTAGTTGTTGATATCCTGGAAACCATAAATTTCCTTTATTTGATGGAATAAATTGCTTTAATAGGATAGCAATTTGGCCAACAGAGATAAGATAGAATAATGAAGGGGAAGAAACCGCTACCAGACCGTTTCTATATGTAGTGATTATTTATTAATCCAGTATTGGCTAATAAATTCTGTGCAAACAAGTGTTAAAAGGAGGGCAGGGTAGGCCCATAACTTTAATTTCTAGTAGAAGGAGGAGCCCTTTATACAGGTAGCAAAATGAAAAACCAGCGCAGCTGAATGTTTGGGTATGGTTCACCCTCTTGTGTTTTTAACCAGAATTGCAGTCTTATTGAGAAAATTATTTTTACTCGTCTAAAATAGGAAGGGAAGGTGGTAAGTGGGGACAGTCCTGCTCAGGGCTGGTATATGTGTCTCAAGACCTATGGGAGATCAGCACCCATCTTGAGGAGCAGCTGGACGTCCAGTGGGACACAGCAGTGCATCCTGCATGGAACCAGGATGTATCACTTGGGAGAAGCATCAGGAAGAAGGTTAGTGGGAAGGAGTTTCTCTATGCAGTGAGAAGATGACATCCCAGGTATCTGCTCATTTTTTAATGTCTCTCAGAGTTTATAAACTGTAAGCAAAGAGTTTCTATTCCCTCTTTACCTATCTTTTTATTAGCTAGAAATACAAAGATTAGATAAAAGTTATGACAAGTGAAAAATAAAAGATGAAGATGATTCTGAAATACTGTTTTATCAATGTAATAATATTGTTAGTATCTAAAGAGGCATGACTGTGATAATGCACCTCAATAAATGGGTCAGAAAGTTTCTCCAAGTAACCAATGCCACTGAGAGATAACAAATCTAAGTCATCAGTTCTTGATCAATATAGATACGCAGTCATTTGAAGTCATACCCTGCATTATAAAGAGCCTGGAAAGATATGAAATTAAAAGCATTACTCAAGGAAACGCATCATTGGAAGGAATACACAAACCAACATGGCACTGTGAGCATGTTCAGCAGATCCAGCTAAACTTTCCCCATAGGCAGGACCTGGTGGCGTGCTTGGAAATAGAGGTGGGAGAGGGCACATCTAAGGCCTTCAGCTGAACTTAATCCTCTTGGAGACATCTTAAAGGTGTGCACTGCTAGGAATTGACACTGAGATGATTCCTGGGAAGTTCTGAAGAAAATCAGGTATTTTGACGGGGATTTTAGAGAATTTGGGTCTACTGCTTTATGGGGGGGTTTTTTGGTAGCACCATTTTTTTCTATGTGCTGCAATAGGAATTCCAAGTGAGTGTGGGACTTACTCATAGCGATGATGGGAAGGGATTTATATCTCTTTCTTTGTATGAATGGTTTTAAAAAGCTTCATATTTCTCAACTGTTAGTGCTGTATGAAAAAAATTATAATTTATCACCTGCATACACAGATGTATCAGAAGCTTTGTGTTTAGGCCACAGAGCAAAGCGCCTCTTATTTTGGCTGTGCAAAAAAAATGTATCATTTTTTTTTCTTTGTCTTTCTTTTCCTATTTCATCCCCACTTACATGAAGTACCAAAGATTCTTGAAATATCCATAAGGAATTTTTCAAATGAAAAAATTTAATTATAAATAACTTCAATGAAAAGCTCTGTTTGTGAACCAGTAGTAAATCATGTATTTATTTAGCAGGATACATTCCATTGATAATCAAAAAAGATGTAACAGAAGAACTTTATGTGGCATTTAACATATTTTGTAAAAAACCTAAAGTGTGTTAAAAGTGTATTTCCCATTAAAAAAAAATGAATCAGTGGAAGATCCACTGAAAGGAAAACCACAAAGTAACATATTAGTAGGTTAAGCATGATTTCTACAAAGACTGAAGTAATGGTGAGATTTCAGAAAAAAAAATGTTACCTATGGGTGAATCTGAGCTGATGCACTGACAGTGAATACACTTCACAGTGAGTTCTAGTCTTTCCTAATAAGTCTCACAACAGCTATAATGACATCCACCAGGACATTATATGATTTGAGTGGTGCATGTACAGGTAGCAGGACACTTCTTCATCACCAGTGAATGGCCACAGCCAAACAAGGTTTTCAGATTTCTGCAGTTTTCAAATAAGTCTCGATAGTTGCAAGGATTGGCTAAAATACAAAAGATAAAAACAAAAACATGCAATATTAATTGTAAGCCAAGTCCTGGTCTGATACTTCTACATTTTCCAAAAATTCTAAATTTTCATGTCTATATAGTACTTTGCTGTTAAAATTGCTTAAATATTATTGAAAAGGGAATGCAGTCGGAAAGGTGGTATCTTACAGTTCTCATTTATTTTTATGCTTTAACTTGCTCCACACAGAAGTCTGCAGAACCCAGAGGCCTGTGCAGATCTTCAAGTGCATGCAGATGTGTGAGGGCTGACTATCTGTTTGTGACCTTAGATATAGATGTACATCAAGACATTTTGTCTTGATCTTTTCAGAAGAGGACAGAAGAAGATTGACGTTGTGATAATGCCCCTATTGCTCAACAGCAACACAATGTACCCGTTCTCACAGGGTGGTTGAGTTTGGATGGGATCTCTGGAGGTCATCTGGTCCAACCCCCGTGCTCAAGATTGTGCCCGCGCAGGTGAAATATTTAACCACTGTTATTTCTGGGGGACATGAAAGGGGCAGTTCTAGAATCTTTCATCCAGATTATCAAGAAGTAACTATACAAACATAAAATGCTACAAAACAACAAAATTATTATCTGAGGTAATGCAATGTTTTTTGTAAGGTGGAGAATACATTCACTTACTGCAAAGCCCTTTGTCACAGTGGCCAGGACAGTCAGCACATTTTGGTCCGCTTTTGTAAGGTGTAGCTATTTCCGTTGCCCTATTTCCTCTGAAATTTGAAAGAAATACAACACAAAACTTGATCAAAGTGAAGCTCTGAGCCATTAACAGGAGTTTACATTATTTATCACAATGAAAGGCATCTGGAAGTTTTTGGATAAATTTATTTTCATAGACAGTCGTATTTTACTTTTGGATATTCACACAATACAATAACTTTGATTTAAATCAGAAGGACAATACGGTTTAAAGAAAATTAATCAATTATTTGCATTTGTATAGCATTATCTGTTAAAAAAATAATCTTATGTGCTTCCCAGTTCTGCTTTCCTAATAGCTTTCAAGTGATGGTGGCTCATAAGGAAATAACCTCAGCAGATGCCTTCTAACATGCAGCTGTTCCAGATATGTTGTTTACCTCTGTGAATATTCATTTGCTGTTGGCTTTCACTTTGCATCTGACTTTCTTGCTTGTGGACAAAGTTATAGGATGATTTGTGCGTAATGCCTGATTCTGACAGAGATAGACCTTTCTTTGTTCATATGCTACAATTTCCCTAATATCTGTTTCAAAGTGAAATAAAATAAATATTTAACCTGATGTTAAACCCACAGTTCACATTTGTGTTTTAAAAATTATAAATGGTTAAACTAGACTGTAATCAATTTATCCTGCACGTGATCACAGGAGTTTTTGAAAATGTATCCCTAATTATTGCATCTTAAATGAGTAAAAAGGCAGTACATACGCAGGGCAGTATTGGCAAACATAAAAGTAGTTGAATTGTTTCATAGGACAGTAGGCAACTGCACATCCGATCTGGTAACTGTTGTACCAGATTAACTGTAGAATAAAAATAAATACAATACTTCAGTCATATTTTATTGAATTCTTATCAAACAACTCACAAAATATCAGAACCAGAAGATAATTTCTTATTTCACAGTGTCTATTTAGCTTTTAAGTTTGACAGTTGTCAGAACTGTCAGAAATAATAAATAGAAAAATGAGTTAACCATGTCCTCCAGTTTCCAAATGTTTATGAACACAGTTTCTGGCAGGACACTAAAGTTTAAATTCAAGTATTTTCATCATAGATAGTTTGCTTTTATATTTCTTAATCAGGTATTTCATTCCCTATACAGAAAATATTTACTTCTAAATTAAAGGTATTGATTTTTTTTTCCTACAGAATATTTCTCTCTGGACATATGTTCTAAAGCACTGGTTCCATTGCATCATAATTTAGATGAAAGAGAGTTTTAATTTATCATTCATCTTTGGATCAGAGTGTGAATGATAGATAATGTTTTGATGACAGTGATAATTTTTTTTCTGACGATAAATATCTCCCAGATCCCTTAAGTGTAATACAGTAAATCTAGCGTATCATTGTAGTTTGTTTCAATTCCTCATACCTGAGTATAGTTCTCAATATTGACATTTTTCGCAGTTGCTCCAAATCCATACTTGAAATTGGAGGACTGACTCTGCCAGACTTGAATTACTTCAGCCCATGTTTTTGGGTTAGATGATAGTAATACATTCTCACCACAGGTGACACCTGAAACACAAATAAATCTATTTTATTAATTAGGAGAGAAGCAAACTGTAGGGTGGGAGGTAGCACAGAGTGATTGTAGCTATGTCCTAAAAGACTCTACGATGTCAACCTATTTGTTCTGTGATTTTAAGAGGAGGACAGCACACCCGATACTATGAAAGTTTCAGGAAATGTTATGCTGATTTTGGTGATCTTTCAGTCACAGATAATTATCTGACAACAAAATGATACACAGAAGTGTCTGTACTTAGTCATACCAACAGTCATCTATTGTGCTGCCTTGTCTCCAGCAGGAGCCAGAAGTGAACACTTCAAGAAAGGTACAATAATAGACAAGTACACAACATCCCTCTCTCAAGTTCCAACAATTTGTCTTTCAGGGTATTTATCAGACAAAGATGATGGTTTTGTTTTTAGTAATCCTAAAAAGATATTCTACAACAGATTAAAAGTTTTCTTTATTTCTAGTTCACATGCAGGGGTCATTTGCAAGTTGTCATTAACTCATCAGCGTAGGCTACATATTTGTCATGTACCATTAATGATTCTCTGATCTCTTGGACTGATTTTCATCCCACACATATTTGCCCATTTCTGAGCATTTTTGGCAGCTTTCTCATTCCACACCTGAAAAACACAAAGAAAGAATTATCCAGGTCACAGATAAATTAGTGCGGTCCATGAGAAGAAAAAAAATGGGGAGTAACTTGAGCATTGTGCACTGAATGCTCCTATGGTCCTCAACAGAAAGTAGAGAAGTTGTGTCAGTTACACTATTGGGGCATGGGCACCACATTTCTTTGGCTCTTAAAAGTTGCAGAGAAGATTATCCTCCACAGTATCACACAGTCCTGATCTCCAGATGGTCCTGATTAATAGGAATTTTACAACATACTGTTGCTTTCTTTTGGCTTTGTCTCGGAGTTAACATTGCAGGGTGGAGTGCACTAAATGGCACAAAACTCATTTTCAGTCCAGGTGCAGCCAAGATGTAGTGATAGACACCAGCTGGAATTTGAACCTGGGGAATGTTTACAAGTCTCACTGCGGAGACTTAACCATAAAGCACTGACGAGCTCATCTGCTCATGGGACAGGGGTAACAAAGAATGTCAGGGGTGACAGGGATGAGAGCAGTGATGGGCAAAGCAAGATCAGCTGAGGACAACTGGCTATGCAGAACTAAATCTTTTTTCTCCCCCCTGACAGTGTGTGATTCAGAAGTATGCTGCTGCTTGTGTTCCTGCTCCACCTTTGCTTTACATACGCCTTCCTTCATCCAGAGTAAATGTTTCTCTTCTTCTAAGGGAGCTGCTTAGCCCACAGGCTAAAGAATGTTATCTATAACCTGAGAGCCATCACTGCATTTTGTGCCCTCTACCCAGTTTAAATGCTTTCCCTGAAAAGACTTGTAGTTACTGTCTATTGCAATGAACAAATGTGAGGCACAAACTTATGATTCACTGTGCGGGCTATGTTAATGTAGGCTTGACAGCAATAAATAGATGTGGCTGGGGCAAACCTGCATTCATGGTTCCTGTAGACAAATAACTTCAGGCATGGAACAGTTCCTATGTTAATTAATTGAGTTTTTCTGAGTGAGGAAACTAAGACATGTTGGTTAGGAGAAAGGTTTTGAATAGTACTTGTGGCTGTCCTGAGACTTTGCAATGATTTTACAAATGCTTGCATCATCAAGGTTTGCAAAATTAAACATAAAGCCTGGAGAAACAAAGGGATAAAATTCTGATTTTTACATCTCAGTCCTAGAGAACCTTTCCTGGCATCTTTGTTCACTGAGTTTAGATTGTTTAGAAGACTAAAATCTTCTACTAATAATGTGGAAATCAGACTAATTGCAGTGCATAACTTACCATCTTCAGCATGTTCCTGGCCGTGGGAACTACAGATCTTCGTACCTCATTGTGTTTCTCAAGGATCTGTTTTTGGTTTTGAAACTGAACATGAGGAGAGGAAATGTCCATTTGTTTATACTGAAAACCCTGGAAAAAAATAATGGTAAGGTTTCAGATATCAGAATAAGCAAGATAAATTATGAGCTTATATCAAAGCAAACCTTCTTGGAAATTCCCAATTTTCCCTTATTGGTTCTTCTATTCTTATAATTGCCAATTTTATTTTTCTTTCTTCTGGCATCTGAACTGTAGTTTTCATTAGGAGATGTGACCCTAAATGAAATTTTTAGATAGGAATTCTACCTTCAGATGTCTCCACATCAAACATGGAGAAAGCTTAGCTCTGGAACCAAATCTCAAAACTGGTTTTGACCTCTTGTGTACACTCAAAATGTTCCCAGCTCTTGTCAGTTGTAAGCTTTGGAAGAATGTGAAGCTGGATCAGACCTGGCTGTTTCCAGACGACTTTCTGTAATACCTAAATCAAGATAGCAATAAATGATTTAGACTGCCTCTTACATAGTGATGCCAGGTCATGAATCCTTGCAGAGAAAAAAAGCTGCAATGTTTACATTGGAGTTTTCAGTCTAAAACATTCCTCAGGAAAAGATTATTCCCTCTTAAGGCCTACAAATTAGACATCTCAGTCTAAGCTAGATACCTTCACTCTCTTTGTGGCAGAAGGCAGAGGTAGCTCATCTCAAAAAATGTGAACTCATTTTTGGGACTGTAAGAACCACTCTCTACAAGTACCTCTTTCTCTTTTTGTTTGTAGAGGGAGCATGACAGAGATCTGGGCAACTAATACTTTGATGCTTAAGTCAGTGAGATGAGTTCTGCCATTGGTGTGGTGGTCTCTTTTCTAGGCACTGGTTAATCTTATTTAATTTTAGATATCTATACCATAGGTGTAAATATCTAAAAGTCATCTCAATTTGCCTTTATTGTCACTGAGAAAAACAGAAAATGAGAGAGACTAAATTCTGGAATGTCCAAGTAATATGAATGAATCCCCACTGCTTTGCTTTCAGAGCTCAATTCTAGGTTTTAAAGGCTATAGGCAGTGGCTTAAAATGTGACCTAATGCCATTTGAAATGCCCAGAGCGCTCTGCCTAGCCCCAGACTGTTGCTCCAGAAAAATATAGCTGTCTGTACAGCCATCTGTGAATGGCTCAGATACTCTGGAGAGTCTCAAGGTACACTAGGACACAGCTGTCTGGGCAACTGAACCTACCCCAAGAGGTGTCGTACATCTTGTTTAACTTAAAGACATTTACAGTGGTAGAAATAACATCTCAGCCAGTTATTTTAGGCTGCTGTTCTACTCAGGTAAAGGAAACAAGCAATTTAGGACATGGTTCACTCAAGATTTATTGAGAAAAGGGATGTTTGGCATCGTTAAAATACTTATTTATTTTCATTCATTATTAAATAGATTTTGATAAATAGTTCACAATCAAATGTCTATATAGTAGATACCTATATCCTACAAGATTAATTCTCTCTAATGAGAGGTGAAGAGTAGATTTCTGATACTTAGCTAAACTAGTTTATAATAGCCTTAGTTAGAATGTTTTTGGGGAAATATATTTTAAAAATTATTTTTTGTGAAGAGAAGACTATTTTGTTAAGCAGAAGAAATACTTTAATGTAAAGGTCTGAGGAAACCAAGAGTCCATCTTTACTGTGTTAACATGTTAACAATAATTTAAACTCTGAATTGTAAAGCTCTGCATCAGACTATGCTGTGTCAGGTATCTATGCAATGTGCTCAGATATGACTCTTTTGCATGGATGACTGCTCTTACCTGTCCATCAGATTGGTGTAGCAAAGCAGCCAGGAAAATGATTGCAGTTAGTAGATGCATTTCTACAGAGAAAAAAAACAAACAAACAAAAAAAAAAAAAACCAAATCCATGAATCGCTGTTGCATAAAGTTTGTGGTGTAATATGTTATGGGAGCAAGATACAAAACTGTTGCAAAGTCAAGCCTGCCACACAGAAGATTATTTTAGTTGGTACCTAATACAGCTGAATGTGCTGAAACTGTGTGAATGAGTGCATGATGGTACATGGGCACCACTGCCTTGGACAGAGAGATGACTCCACCTTGCATTGAATCAGGGACTGTAAGTAGCATAAAGTTGCATGTTTCTTGAATTTACAACATTTCCTTCATCTTTCCCTCCTTGTACAAAAAAAAACCCCACATTAATTTGTTCAGTACAGTCACATCAGTGTCCTGCTCAAGCAGTCATCACCCACTTGGCAACTGTCATTTTGAAGCAGAGCACTGAACACAACAGTTGTCTCCATTCCTTTTCTGCTCGCTGTTTCCTCATTAAATCAGCATCATAAAGACTCAAGCAAATCATGGTGATCACCTTCAAGTTATGTCTGACACTTAGACATAAACAAAGCCTTCAGGAAATTATATTGGCTATTGCCCTCTGGCTGCTGAGATACATTATAGAAGCAAATACCACAGTATGTACACAGGCAGTCTGAAACCCACTCATATTCGTGGGATATTTTTTCTATTTGTCACAAGCAAAGATTACGTACCTTCGTATGATTGAGGATATATGGGAAATCATGTATTTTTAGTTGGTAAAGATGAAAATCTCAAGGAAAAGTAACTGAGCTCAAGGAATTTTCTTAAAACAGGCTGAAGCAAGCAAGGAAAAGAGACATAATAAAACCCATAAAACATAATAAACCTTAGAGCTGGCCTCAGAAAAAATCCACAGCGTGACCAGTACACGTCAGTGGTAGAGATATAGGAAATCCTGCTTGACAGGGAAACTATTGGGATAGCACCTGTTAAAACCGTAAATATACAATGAAAATATAAACAATCTGCCAATCCATCTCTGCTAAGTGATTAAATGAATATGTTTATATTAGGTGAGAAGAATGAGTTAAGAGCTTTTACTTCAGGTAGAAATGGAAGCACAGATTCACATCTCAGAGAATTAACAGCGAGTTATCAGGGAGTTGGAAATGCAACTTAATATTTCATTCTTCTTTCACTAAGTAAAATGAACATTTATTTTTTCTAGAATTATGACTTGGAAGAAATGTCATTTATAACATTATTAATATTATGTTCATTATTTAACACCTGAAATTGCCTCTAGATTTTTGATCTGATTTCATTTATGTTGTGTTTGTGTTATCGATGTCAGTGGATTTACTTGTTATTTAGTCCTGTGTGAGTGAGTCAGCCTAGAGCTGTGGTGTCAGCCATTTCTGCTTATTATATGGATAATAATAATAATAATAATAATAATAATAATAATAATAATAATAATAATAATAATAATAATAATAATAATAATAATAATAATAATAATAATAATGATGAGGCTCCAGAAAGTGTGTTAGTTTTCTTACATGCTTTGATGTCACTCTTTCATTTATAAATTAGGAAGTAGCTCCAATACTATGAGAAAATTCTATACGTTGTGGTCTCTAACTGGGCATAAGCAGGTCCACTTAGAACCCTCAGTTTGGGCTAAATTTCCAACTAAAAATCAACCCTGGGCAGAGGGTTTGGGAAAAGCCTACAAGAACACTGGAAAATATGCAGTTTTTCAAACATCTCTCTGTGTGTGAGACCCCTTTTATGTTCACTTTTTATGAGTATTTCACACTAGTTTGCAGTAGGAGTATTCCAATATACATGTCACAGTGTATAGTGTCATGGTGAAGGGTTTGATGTAGCGATGCTCTCGCCAGCATTTAGCTTTGTGGTTGACAGTGACTTCCTCTGAATTTAGATGCTGCTAACTATAGGCATAGATAGAAACATTCATCATTTTTACACAGAAAAGACTTTCCACTAAGATTGGAGGTCAATCAACCAGAGAATATAAATGTATACCATGTGACTTTTACAGTCAGCAAAAAGATCTTAGGCCTAATATTCGCAGCAAAATATTCATGAACAAATATAAGGCATGAATCCATGCATCAGAAGCTGGCCATCAAGCCACTGTTGAATCAAGAGAAGTTCTTTATTTTTTTAGATGTCCAGCTATGCAGAGTTTCAACCTACCTCTAAGGAAATGAAACCAAAGAAAAAAAGTAAAACCACTGTTCTCTTCTCACTTGCATGGTAGCAATGCAAGACTAAATTGTCTGAGTTCAGACCAAAAGCTCCACGTACTGTTGAGTTATTCTATGAAATGTGCTGTGTTCTTTCAGGAACTCGGAAAGTAATGATCTTGGACTATCAATTCCTAAACCAATACTGACAAAAATGGTAACACAGCACTGCCATGCAGAGATGTGAGTTTGAATCCAGTGGGATTCATAGTTACATTATGATGGTATTGTGACTGGGCTAACAAATCTTAACTCTTAGGAGGTCTATTCAACCTATGAAAACACCAAGAAAATGTGATCTGGTGACTGTAATGTTCCTGGTACTAGATAAGTTGCAACTAGTTTGATCATTTATTTTTGTACTGTATTTTGTTGCATGATATAAGTTAACAAGACATATCTTATCACAGCAAAATCTTCATGTCATTCAGATATTCAGTCTTTAGCTTGTTTTCCCATGATTGCATAAGGAAATCACTTGTATGAGGTAGAGGCAGGGACCTCACTCATATTAATGAAGAATAAATTCTTAAACTGAAGGGATATTTTTGGCCACTGAGGAGTTGTCCTCTTTACATGCAGAAAAAAGATGTTTCTGGGACTCCCCAGATAAGCGCTGCAACTAGAAACATAAAATGTTTCTAGCTCCAGAATTAAACTTGATTAAAATACTATTGCACATCTTTGATTGTGAGACTGCACAATGAAATCTGTCCCTTAGAGTAAATGTATTTGACATTACTTTCAAAGTCAGAAGACAACAGTTCCCAGATACAATTATCCTTCCATGTCAATAGTATTCAGTCCACTAAATCACTTCTGTGCTTCTGGAAAGACAAATACTAGCAATGCATTTTTAGGTAGCTCTGCTTGAAAACAGGACATTTCATACAAATTTGATCAAATGTAAAAAAAAAAAAAAAAAATCTATAGCTAAAAAGCTAGAAACAAAGTTCTATTTGAATAATACAGTACAGGTTTTCATGTTTAGTCCTGGTGTTTTATTCCTCAGCAAGCCTTTTTCCTGCCAGCTGATAAATCTTTCAGGGCATATCAGGTTTGAAAGTTTGTAAGAGTGGGAATATTTGCCTTTTCAGTTACTTTGATATAAGATTTTTCTACCTCTATATCTTTAACTTCCAGTTAGTAAAAAAAAAAAATCACTCTGCATTAATAAAATGCAATTATCTTACTGCATGTTAGAGATATTTTAATAGCTTATCTACCTGAAAGCTTGGACAGATAATATTTATAGATGGCAAAATTCTGAGTTCAGCTTAGAACTGGTATATCCCAATACTCAAGTGAATTAAATTCAACATAAAAATAATTAAAATTACATTAGACAAGCATTTTCCATGATTGACCACCCTCTGCAAAATTGATTAATTTATGTTCACATTTGAAGAATGAAGCAAGTGAGTCAGTGTTACCTTTTGATCTAAAGAAATATGGGAATTAGACTTCACTGAAGCCATTTCTTACCCACACAGGTGGAAGGTATGCTTTCTAAGCAGAGAATATAATTTATTTTTAATTTTTTCCTTTGGGATTATTATAAACAGGCATTTTCCTTTAATTATCACATTTGGTATGACTTAGATATGAAATACATTAACCTTTGTAGCACAGTACCCAATCAATACTGACCAAGTTACTGTATGGATAAAATTAAATTCTGCATACATTACCTTCGTCCAGCCAGAATCCTTCCGTTTCTTAGGAAGAGTGGCAGGAGTGAGAGGTTCTTCTCATTATAGGGTTGTATATATATGTACGTTCCCTTCTCTCTCTTTGTCAATATTTATTGCCTATAAATGACATCAGCTTTAGGGCTGCACATTTTAGAAGAAAGAACTTTTCTTAATGAATAGGTGACTGAAAATGAACCAATCAAACTGCCTTGTTCTGGATTTTTTTGCTTGTCTTCAGGGCAAGGAAAGAGGTAAGATAAGATAAGGTAAGATAAGAGGCCTGTCCTTTTGCTGCACTTTGCCAAAATACTTGTAGTCTGGTCAGCAAGCTGCAGTGCTAATATTGTGTTCACAAAATGAAAGCTCAAGTTAAGAGGTAGTTGCTTTGTAATTATGTATTCTGGCTCTGGCAAAAGTGGAGTAAATATTTTGAGGCAGAGATATAAGTCAGTAACTCACTTCACAGCCATGCACAGAATGACCTGCACACTGGGCAACACAGTGATATTTTCTTCCAAGTGGCTCCTGAACTTCCACTTGCTAAATACAATTTATATTGCATTAGCTCACTGAGGCCAAAAGGCTGTGGCACTAGGCATTATTGTACATACAATTCACCCCATGTGTTGCTCAAGAGTAACCTACTTGCAGAATGGCTACAGACATGTACGTCTTCCCCCTTTAGTCTGAAGAGATCTGTGGCATGTGTTTGCTTTTTTGCTCCAGTGCAGCATCACTCAGCTCACCTTTCCCTTTTGCAGAATCTTTGCTTCCACTTATTTATAAGGTAATATCACAAAGTCAGCTTTGACAGGTCCTCAATGCTCAACTCTGCTCTGTTTAAACACAACCTGACTGGCTTCCTTCCGTGCTGCCTCTTGTCTTTCAGTAGGCATAAAGAATCTGCACATCTTGTAGAATCATAGAATGGATTGGTTTAGAAAAGACCTTAAAGATCATCTAGGTCCAACCCCCTCTTTATTCTGTTCCTGCAGTTCCCTTCCTCATCCTTGCCTTTGCTGTGATGCTTTTCACACTGAGCAACATTTTCATCATGCAGGGTCG